ACGAGATAGTGAACGATACAGTTAGTGAATTATTGCTGTTTATCATCCGATGTTGTTATTGGAAGACTACATTAAAATACTTGTGTCAATACAGCTTTTATCAGAAAAATAAGACATATGTTTTTAAATAATACAAAACACTGTCCATCAGCGAAATATTCGCTCTAATGCACCTTACACAGCTTGGTATTGGTAAACATTACCAATGCCAAGCTGTGTAAACTGCATTAGAGCTAATATTTCGACATTGCTTTGTATTATTTAAAAATTATTAATATCGAAAGATGTTTTTGTGTTGCTGTATTATTATTATTATTTTAATTAGTTATTTTCTTTCTGGTTCTTTTTTCATGATTCCATTATTTTCCATGATATTTATGACATATTGTTTATTAACATTAGTATCAAGACACGTGTTGTTAACTGTGTTTTGGTAAGTGTTGGTAAAAATTGAATAAACTGCTTTTTTTGTTGTTGAACCCTAATTGTAGTAGCCAGTTTATTTAAAATCGTTACAATTGAATATGCAAGTTATTACCGTAGGCTGTGCACAACCTTTCTACTTTTGATGTGCTATGAATGTGATATCCGGATCATATCGAGCATATAAAAAATTCGAATGGATTAGTTAATAAAACTAACTGAAGTTATTAGAACTGGTTGGTTCATATGACGTTATCGCTGTTGCCACGGGTTGTTTCGTATAGCGGTATTGTTATTAGCAGAGTAGTTTTTTTTCATTTTATTTCTTGTTATATCCAAAGTAAGGTAAGAAGTTTCTTTTCATTTTATTTCCGGTTATATCCAAGGCACTTAATCTTATTTTCTCTTACATGTACTAGTTTATTTGGTAAAATCTAGAAGAATCGGGTGATGAAACACGTCCGTGAAGCGCAAAGCAGTGAGTGGCGGAACATAAGGTGTAAATAACGTTATTGGGAAGGTTCTCTTGCAAATTTAAAGGAAGATCCCTGCTGTCCATCCCCTAGCTCGGCCAAAATTGGAATTTGACGCGTGAAAATATTTAAAAGCGATATTCACACCATTACGAAATATTGCTATTATCTGATGTACCATAAATATCCTATAATACTAGATGACGAAATGCTTCCTATTCGCGAAGCCAGCGTCCACCATATTATGAAGATCCTTGAGACCCCTCCCCCTCAGTGGCTCATCGGTAAGTTTGAAGGCTTGTAACGCTAAAAATCGGGTTTCAATACTCGTAGTAGGCACAGCACCGATAGACAGGTGTGTAGCTTTGTGCTTAACAAACAAACAAACAAGATCGTTAAGAAATATGTATTAGTTAGAAGTACACAGTTTAGAACTCCAAATTAAACAAACTGAAGTACATAAAACTTATGTAAATTAATTTACATAGCCTTGCAACTCGTATATAAAAATCAATTTATTTTGCCCTATAATTTATCACGAGTGAAATTTTCTTTCACCTCATAGTTTTCTGTTAACTATGATATTGCGTCTTAGACCAGGGAGTGTTGATACTCACTGTTTTTGACCTAAGTTCTAAGCCTGTGCCGTTATAAATAATATTCTGCATGGAATAAAAGATCTGATGATTCAAACATTTTTTGATCTAGTTTCTTACTAAAAAACTAACACGTGTTTTAAACTACATTTATTGTCTAATCGAGTTCAGTTATTTGTTACAATTTCAGAATCATGTGATAAAGTGGATGAAACATGATTCATATACTTATTTAGAGAATGGAAAAAAATAACCATAAAGATTCAATAATTCAGATTTATTTTTTACTTTTTTATGTTAAAACAAATGTCTTAGGATACGTTTATTTACATATATATCAATACTGCTATTTGTGAAAATGTGCGTAGGCTTTTTCGTTAGCCCCCCCCCCACACACACACGGTATGTATGTGGACTTATGACGCTAGAAACCGGGTTTCGATACCCGTGGTGGGACGAGAATAGATAGTCCATTTGTAACTTTGTGCTTAACTACAAACAAACAAAATATGTGTTGGTGTCTGAAACATATAGCACATGTAAAATATTTTTGTTTCATGTTAGAAACTTTACGAAATAGAACAACCAATGGTAATTCATTACGTCAAGCATCTCAAACACTAGACTAGTTGAACAAAGAAACTTCAAATCAATAACTCTGTTTAGATAGTAAATTTCACTCGCTTTTTTCTTCACGCACAAAATATATGACTGAGCGACAAGATCATCCACTTTTATCACCTTCATAAGAATATCATACCTTCTCTTCAGAATGGCGTCTGACGTGGAACAGCCCAGCGAATGTTTCAAAAGACATTTGTTGTTGTTGTGTGAAATTATGGATAGAAAAGAACAAAGAACTCCTCAAGAAATACAAAGTAGTCTTACCAGTGTGTGGCATTTATAAAGTAACATGGCAGAAAATCCCCCAAAAAAGAAGTCAAATTAAATCATAATGTGTCAGACTTGTGACTGTGAGATAGGGTATGATATCTGTCTTTATTTGTCAAGATTTGTAACTATACAATCTCACCTTGAGTACTAAAAAAGAATGTTTTCTTAACTACCTGACACTGAGATTAATTAGGATTGTTTCTCTTTATCGTTGTCTTACTATTAAATAGTTTCATATTTTACTCTTTAAATTTTTAACTTGGAATATTTTAGTCTCCATTATCTTGTACACTATTATCAATGTTTTTAAAATAAGGCCTGGTAGTTAGGGCGTTCGACTCGCAATCTACGGGTCGCAAGTCCGAATCCCGTCATTGAACATGCTCGCACTTTCAGCAGTTGGTGGTGTTGACTAGTTGCTTTCCCGCTAGTCTATAACTTATAAATTAGAGACGACTAGCGAATATAACTTTCGAGTAACTCTACGCGAAATTCAACAAAAAATACGTTAATTCATGCATGCATTAAAGTTTTAATTTTTCTCAAGGTCTGTAACATGTGATATTGCTAAAAAAACTTTCGTATGAATGTTTTTGTCCGTGAAAAGCGTTTGTACAGTTTGTACAACCTTAGGCCGCACAACTCGGCATTTTGCTTGAATAACAAATATACAGCGAGATTAGTCGATATGTAAATATTTTGATCGTACCAAAATGGCGGGATGCGCACGTCACTAGCTTCAGGGAATCAGACAGATAACAGCATCAATGCGCGATCAACTACTACATGATACCTATGGATTATACAAACCTAATTTCTTCAACTTCGTTACCATAAAATAGGCCTTGTTTATACAAAATGTTACCTTGTGCTTAGCATTTATACATATATTTGGACTTTTAAAGATTACATTTATGTTTAAGCGCGTGTATACACGCGCGTCTAAATTCAGTCTTAAACTGAGACCACCCCCAATTTTTTTTTGGATCCGCCACTGAGGTTGGTGATAAAGACCACTCTAAAATCATTCGGATTAACAGTACAAAAATCTCTAAATAGTGCACAAAATTACTTCGTTGACTGGCGCTATATTTTCATTAAAAATCGAATAAACAGGTAAATGAAAACGGTAGTTTCAACTTTTACATTATATTTATGATTTTTTTACATTATATTTTAGATGTAGAGTTTATTTCCTGCAAAATTTCCATTCCGTTAAACTGAGGATACACATATCGCTATAATAGTTTATGTTTGGCAGAAACTATGTTTTAAATTTCATTCAAAAGAATAAACAAGCAAACTTATAAAACGGCATTAAGAAAATATTTCCTTTAGAATAATTCTTGATTGGGGTCGTATTGTTCAACAGACTATCCCAGTTCACTTTAGTTGTCATAAATAAAAATTCTTTGATTATAGATATTAAATGTACTTTTTTTTTCTCATTAAACGTATGCACAGGTTGAACCTGGATTTGGTAGCTGGTGAACCTGGTTCTAGTATGTGTGATAAACACATAAAAATATTAGAATAATTATAGCTAAATATAAGAATACAAATACAATGTGAATAGAATTTAGCAGGATCATCCTCTGGAAATGCTGAGAAAGCTGTCCTACTCCCGTTATAACGTTGACAGTGGAATGGGGATCAAGCATAATAGTTATTGAATGTACCTTTTATTAGAATGAATTACAGTTACTATAATGAAAATATGTATATTGATATATCTATATATATATATATTCATTATAGTAAGTGTATCAATATCTTAGTATTAAAGCTGATAAATGTTCATTACAAATAATCCGATGGGTCCCAATACCGTTAGATGGAACAGCTGTTGCATGTTACGGGTGATCGATTGCTGTAATGGTAAACATAATGAAAGTAAACTGAAATCGAATTTGAATATTTATGATACGTTATTAAATGTGAAGGTGTATTATATAGAATGGAAGATAATATATATCATTAGGTACAAGTACTTTATGCTGGACAATCCTGGGATTCATATTCATCTTGTTTTTACTTTGATTTCCCTCCATTGTTATAGTAATAAGCTGATGCAAAGTAAACATTTTTCATAATAAGTATTTACAACGTTTCAATGTAAGCCAATGAAGAAGTGGAGAACAGAATACGTTATTTATTTACACTGTTTTTGTTTTTAATGTACATAACTTATATCTCGCTATCTACCCGTGAATACCCATACCAAATTGGTTGAGGTAGTGAACTAACAAATAATAGCATTATGCTATCGCAATTAAATATACTGATCTTTCACTAACACTATGACTGCAATAATGTTGGATGTTATAAGAAATGTATATCTTTTCTTTTATTGTTCGTTACGTCATTTACTTTATTTTATTTTATGCAACTCCCACCACACAGACGCTTACAGCTAAATACTGCAGGGGAATTCCAGTTCCAACAACATAAAATATATAATAAATCACATTGAAAGAGGAAAGTACTTTCCAGAACCACTTGAAAAAATCAATAGTTCAAGAAAAGAATGAATAGACATATTTAAATGAAAAAAGAACGAATGTTCACGAACATATACTAACTAGAATAAATTTACAGTAGGTACTATACTTACATATTAAATACCTTAAGACGTGGCTTCCGTTTCTTTGGATGACTGTCGCGAAAGGGTGCTGCGTTCTCCAGTGTTTTCTGTATTGATAAGTTTTGTATCATCTGATGTAATATCTAATAGATCATTGTGTGAGTCTGTTTTAACTAGATTTTCTCCGCCATCGGATTCATTCGAGGTTTCTTGTTTCCGATTGTTAGTGATTGGCACCACTTGATAACCACAAATACATACATTGGTCTGTTGCTGAGGCAACGCCCCAAAGTTATTGGAATATATACACAATGGGTTACTACAGCGAGTCATAGACCTGATATGGTGTGGTGCAGTAACGCCACTTCTATCTATACCAGAGTGTATCATCCAGGAAGACGTTGATTCAGCTCGTTGTATGGGCCGCTGGTTGGTAGCACCATCCACATGTGCAGTAGAACGTTCTACTGGGGTCGATGGGATAATACCTACCTGAAGTACTGCACCATCCCGTGGGTGCACTGCTGCTTTACTCAGGCCGTGACACTTTTCATCCACTACGCCAAGGAACTTGATCGGCTGAGCATGTGGCTTTGTACCCTTTTTAGGCCCAATAGCTTTAAGTGGTTGTTTTCCTAGATTATTATTTGGTAGACAAAACTGTTCACTTTTTTCAATTAATGGCTGAACATCCCTAGAAAAGTCTACGTTTGCCTGTATTGAAGGGATCCTGTTCAAAGGAATAACAACGGTCTCTGTTCCTTGGCCTGTAGTACATGCCAGATTTACTTCTTCCGAGTTTCCACACGAGAGCCTTGGGTAAGTTTCTGGAATTAGTTGTTCCATCTCTTCTCTCTGACTACTATCTGTTTTCTTCAAAATAGATTTTTTCTTGCCATTATCTGGACTAGGGTGCCCCCTCCGTGCTGTCGCTGTGCCCTCCGGCTCTCCTAAGAAGATGTTTTTACTGGTGGCTTTGGCTAGATGAATTTGGAAAAAAGAAAAAGCACTGGGATTAAATCTTCGAAGAGATTTTAAAATATTTTGAAAAACACAAATACAACCTAAGTACGTGTGTCTCATTTTGATTTTGGCTTACATAACCCTATTTAAAAATTACGGATAGGATTAACAAACGCAATCCATATGAAAAATTTAGAAAAGGCTTACCATACTCTATGCCTATTACAAAAAAAAAAGGTAATAGATTTAGACAAATCTCGTGTAACAAGTTAAAAAAGGCTACTTTTACGGTATACACGAATCAAAATTAATTTATCTAATGATTAGCAATAGTATCTAACTAATTAACTACACGTTAATGTAAAAAATAGCAGCAATTTTTGATTAAGAAATATAAACATAAGCTCCCCCCCCCCCATCTACAAGCAAAAATAAGCAAAAGTGATACATATAACGATTAGAAACACTTTGATGTATTATAATTTTATTATTAGTTTAGATGTATTCTCAGATAATCTATACTAAAAGGCTAACTTGCAAAACCGACTATAAACAAAGACACACTCATACAGTGTGGAAAATATTCTATAGAATCTGTTTCTACGACTTTATGCATGCTGTTGATTAATACCGCAGGGAAGCGCTACAGTGCAGTTACTACTCTAATTGGATAAAATTAGAAGTTCCCCTCACTCGACGTGACGTAGCTTACGGTAGTTGGTGTGTCAGAGAGCTTTCCTTCCGCATCGGTCCTCACTTACAGAAGATAAACACCTAAACATGCAGATGACAAGTTTCAAAAAATCATTTAGCTCAATTTGCAATTAAAAAAGTAAAAGACTGCGACTTTTCTTTAGTCACTTTGAGGTAAACAGGTCATCATTAGAAATTTACAAAGATATATCTCCGGTAGGTAAAATAGACGACGTATTTCAGAAAGCAACGTTAGAAAACTTATAAGTTGGGAATTAGATGAACAGTACAACTTCGAAATTTTGGTGAGCAACTCAGGTAAGAATATTTTAAAAGTACAAAAAAGTGAACCTGACAGGATATAAAACTGTTGAAATACAATGTGGCGAAAACTATTAGGTGAAAATATTAGTGGACTGCTCCAGGTAGGGTAAATACCCCAAGGTGCAAAGTCTGGTGAGAAACTTCAGATAGTAATATTTCTCAAATACCAGGTGGTGATACTAATGTACACTACAATGTAAGAACATTGATGAGCAACTGTAGAAATGGATAATATTGAATTACAAGATGTGATAAGGATAAAACAGTTTCAATTACTAGGTAGATATATATCGAATAACATTACAAAGTAAGGGTACTAATGAGTATTTTCAGGTAAAATTATGTTTAAGATATTAAATGAAAATGATCACAATATATATCTCAAGAATATTACATCGCCATTAAAGAAATGTTCAAAGTAAAAAATAATATATCAGTCTCTTATCAGGTAAACATATTTCGAGATTTTGGAAGTTATACTGAACTCTAAAGCTTAACAATAAGTAAATAGACATGACAAAAATCCCATCGTGTAAATAAGGTATAGCTTGGTAAAGGCCTAGAACACATACAGACATGCCACGAGCGAAAGGATCCTGGGAAATAACTGTATTTTCACGAGGTCGCATAGATGGATGATAGGAAGATGGTCAAGATCAGTGAAAAATTACTACGTCACTTGCAATACCGCTGTCCACAATAAATAGGTGAGGTATTTACTTAGAATATTCAGTTAAGGCCCACTAACTGGAGGTTTCTCTCTGAATTGTAACCGAGTTAGTTACAAAGAAAGAGATAGTACATAAATGCACTGTCTAAACAAATATATCAATTGTATACTAAAACAAAATGCAAAACATTACAAAACAAAAGCGCTAGTGTGTCTAGTGAATATGTTGAATTAATAAGAGCTGTGAAAAACCTTTTAATAGTTTCTCTTACCAGTTTAGTATGCTACACCTTGAAACATACAGTAAACTTGAGATAAACTAAAGAAAATAATCCCGACATCTTAAGTTAAAATAACAAAGAAAATGCAAATGCTTAAACAATTAATAAAGGTCTACTACAATACAAAATTATGCTAAAAAATAAAATAAAAAATAAACGTTAAAACACTATAGTTAAAGATAAGTTTATTTAACTCCAAGATACCTCTTAAATGTATGGAAATAAAGTATAAAATCTAAAAAGATAAATCTACTCAAATCTACAAGTCTGCTAGGTTGAGGCAAAACCCGACTTTTTATACAAAAACATTATCATTAAACAAAGCCAAACTTCTATACGGGTCCAAATTCTAAAAGTGGCTCATGCATTCACAGCATTCTGGGTGCAAAGGGCATGGAACCTAACTTTTATCTAATTTGCCAACAAGAAGAACATCTGTCTCTCTCACAATATCATGAGTTATCTTTTCCATAAGAGAACACAAATAACCGCCAATTAATGAATTTACGTGCAGTGTGTACTGAGGAAAGGAAAGCTGAGTCACTTAATTGAGTGTCTCATTGCATTCAGACTGAGAACTGTGAAACCATTATTTTGAAAACAATTATATACTAAATAAAGTTTGGTTTGTTACAAATTTCGCGCAAAGCTACACGAGGGCTATCTGCGCTAGCCGTCCCTAATTTAGCAGTGTAACACTAGAGGGAAGGCGGCTAGTCATCACCACCCACCGCCAACTCTTGGGCTACTCTTTTACCAACGAACAGTGGAATTGACCGTCACATTATAACGCCCCCACGGCTGAAAGGGCGAGTATGTTAGGTGGGACGGGGATTCGAACCCGCGACCCTCAGATTGCGAGTCGAGCGCCCTAACCACCTGGCGATGCCTGGCCCCCTAAATAAGAAAGGAACTAATGCATGTTAAAGTCCTATAATAATTTCTGCAAGGCCCAGATCAAGCCCGTAGCAGGGGGGGGGGGAGTTCAAGGGTGACCCCCACTCCCGCCGGGTTTCTGCTCGCCAATTAACATTTTTTCCCCCTTTCTTTGATGGTGGCCTCTCATTATATAATTGCTTTTGTAACACTGTGGATATACCAGGAAATAAAATGTTCATACTTATCAGATGAAATTTACTGGAAATGTTTATTTGCAGTGATAATGAAGGAGCCATTACATATTTCGGATTTTCTTTTCGTCCCTGGGCGCTAAAGTTACGCATGAAACGAGTTCCAGTGTGGACCCAAAAGACCCCCTTCCCACTTCTAGACCTGGCTACGGGCTTGGCCCGAATTCCCAAAATCAACATAATTTACTCTTTGTACTGTGGCTAGCACTGTTGCAAGAGAGATGGAAGTTTGCTACAATACAATCAGAACTTATCTTTATAGTATGTACTATAATGGCAGTGTAGCTGGACATAAGCCACTCCTCACTCTAGGAAATATTGAACGTAAACAGCAGTAAGTATGACAGAGGCTGTCCCACTCTCCTACCTTTTTGGACACTTTTTTTTTCTGGTGAGTCTAGATTTGCACAATTGTTGGATAGTGGATGCACCTGGGTTTGGCAACTATCTATCAAAGAACTTCCGTTGAACATCTGCAAGCCACGGCAAAGCATGGTAATGTTTCTGTTGGCCATCTAGTGGTATGCCAAAAGACAATTACTGTTGCCTGATACATCATAGTTCCTGTGCAAGGACTATTACCTGTCTAAGGTGATGACCACCCCTGTGTGTTTCCTGCAAAAGCATCCCAAATAACCAACTTCTATGGACACTACCATTCAAGTCTTTACTAAGGGTGGGGCGCAAGCTTACAGATTCAGATTTCAGATCTGGCCAATATGATGTATAACTGTGTTTCTGCCTTAAATGTTGTTTGTTTATTTGATAAAACAGAATTCTTTCTTGAATGTGCATCTATTTACTTAATGATAGGTTATGTATATTGAACAAAACAACTAAAATATAATTCAAATTTACAATACGTTAGCAATGAAAAGTAAAAACTACTGTTATAAAATATCTTAGATCAACCCCAAATTAATTCTTATGCAAAGGAGACATGTATTGATTAGTCATGTAATCTGTAATGCAGATGATTAATCATTCAACTTATTCAACTTGAGCTGTAAATGAACATTTGGTAGATGTGGCTTCAGTATGGATTATAGTCTCCACAAGGAAAGTCATGCACTGATACTGCATGCTGGAAATCAAAATGCTGATATTGTTCTGAGGTATCCTCAACCACTCATCTGAAAGAGCTATTTTCAAAGCATAATGGTATTTAATTTTTTTTTAATGTAATCATTCATTCAGTCTCTTCTTGTTTAAGAATCGTGTCGACTAGTATAGAACAATGGGGCACGCATTATTATCCATTAGACCAGCGTTTCCCAAAGTGGGGGCGCCCTCAGGAGGAACACAAATTCTCTCTTGGGGGCGCGAGCGATTAGGGTAGACTCAATAGTGCAATGATGCAAAATTAAGTGTTTTAATATATTTTTTATTTATGAAAATTACAAGTAATTACTACAACACATACAAAGTTTTTTGTTCCTTCAATTTTCTACAAGATTGTGCATTGTGGAAGTGTCAGAACTAGTGTCAAATAATTATAGACATTGTATAGTGTAAGCTTATTCGTATTTTAGTCATCCAAATACATGCCTTTATTAACAAATCAACCGTGACGAACGTATTACAGCAGATGATCAACAAATGCTTGGAAAATACGAAAATGCCCTCTGAGTAAGAAAACCTAGAATTGAAGATAATGCCACTAATGTTATTAACAAAAAGTAGTCACGGAGTCTATTTCTTATTTTAATAATTGGTTATGCCCCCTCTGGCCTTGATAACTGCTTGACATCGACATGATATAGAGTGCACGAGGGATTGAATGCAGACAGGGCTGAGCTCATGATGGGTGATGCAATTAATTTTTCCACCACTGTATAGTATTTTAGCGTGTTAAATTTCGTCACTTAACTCACTATTTCACTCATTTAAGTAAATAAAGAGAGGAGTGCACAAGAAACCATATTTATTAAAGCAGAGCGTGGATGACAAAAGTCTGTGAAACGCTACATTATACTGAAGCCAAGGTCAATTGCTTCAGAATATGGAAGCACACAGGATTATAAGATTGGGTCCTATAATGTGTGACATTAATGATACCATTTTAGGGTATATATATAGTTTGAATATATACAGCAATTGACATTCCTTTTCATACGGGGCCCGGTATGGCCAAGTGGTTAGGGCGCTCGACTTGCAGTCTGCGGGCTCGAATCCCCGTCACACCAAACATGCTCACCCCTTTTAGCCTT